TCATCCATGAAATTATAATCAAATGGGTTAAAATCCTCTGATTTCAATTGGAGATTTCACTTGCTGGGGACTGTAACTGGTACTCAAGACATCAGTAATAAAGAGAACCAATAACAAACCCCGATTATCAACCACAATATCAGATCATGAGCACTAATGCAAAACATTTTATATTCCCAGACAGGGAAGGGATGTTACCAACACTGAATAAAATACTTCTGATAATCGAGTAATAAATTAATAAGACTTTACACCAGTTGTATATGGATAAAGAACTGTCATATTAAGTATGAAAAAGGGGCAATGAGATAAGATATAAAAGACAAACACCAGACAGTAATTCGGCTATTTTATGATGCTGTTACAATTACTAAACTTAAATAGGAATGATATATAGGAGGATGATCATGAGTGTTGAATTTGGGTTAGATGTGAGAGAATATGATTCAATGTATGCAAGAAGAAAGCCTCTCCCTTTTCAGAGACAATCAAGAGAACAACGGTGCTTAACATATATTGAATGCAATAACCGTAATTGTACAGGCCACAGGAAAAATGTAGACTTGTTAAATTAATTAAATACCTATCATCAAAATATCACATTAGCATATATATGTGAACATGCAACCAAGACCTGAAACCCCTAAAAAACAGTTTACATTGTCTCAAATATTCAAACACACATGACGAGATGTTCATTTTATTGCAGATATGTTGCTGACCTTAATGATAAGGTCCATGTGACCCTTCACTTCATCACTGGAAACTGGTGTATAAGAACGGATCACAACCTGACCATCTACTTTGGCTGACAAATGGATATGCTGACCTACTGGAAGACCTGTTGAAATAAAATACATTCAATATCTGTATGTAGGTAAATATTTTAGTTCTTTTCCCTTGTTTATTTAAACTCAGGTCTTTTATTCATTATAATGAAGTATATACTGACAATGCAATAGTTTGTTACAAACAGGTATCTGGACCAAGCAAAGAAACTGTAACACTAAACAATTTTTGGTCTACTTAATGACTCTTTTTCAATGTCCTAATTTATATAGCACTGAACTACAGAATCATTAGTGAATTATGAACTGGAAAGGAGATAGAAGAAAATTTTCATTTGGGGTAGAATATCAGGTGTTAACGTATGAAATAGATTCACATAAAAAATTAATTTGGAAAAGACAAAAAGGAAATTATGCTCACCTAGTATATGATTTTCTGAAGGCAGTGAAAAACGAAAACGGCGAGTATCATGGCTGATTATCTCCTTTTGTATCAGAGGAAGAGCATATTTTGCAGTCGGGTCTTGAAGAGTAACAATGCCTGATTTTGATTTCTTCTTGGATAAGTATAACTTTGCTATTAGAGCAGTTGTAATCACCACTCCTAATCCAATAAGTATAGGCAGAGCCTACAACACAGATGTGAAAATAGTTATACTACTGGGTATGTCACAGATTTCAAGTAGGAGTTGTAATCACTTCCCCAAAATGCAAAGGCTGGGGGAAACTGTGAACTTAAGCAGGATATCTAATCCCACAAAAAATCAACCTGGGCACATCCCCTCTTTCAAGCAGATCATATCATTACAATGTAGGGACCAAGGAAAAACTCAGACTCTGGAAGGAAATCCAGTCCTCCAGGAGATACAAACTGGGTATTTCCCAGTTTGATTTATTCGATTCAGAGGCAGTTTAAGCCAGTTTTTATCTTCAAAACATAATTTTTAAACATGAATTTTAACATATCCTCCTAGCATCTACTTCATCCTTCAAGCAGCCACCTTCCAAGCTTGAGCCCCCAACCAAAATATAATCCATTTGGCTATGAAGGCTTCATATCTTCATAATAAAGCCTATGTGAAAAGATGTTGACTACAATGACAAAACAGATGTTTGGAAAAGGGACTTCGTATAAACATCCAGAACTCAGACCTTGTTCCAAGCCAACACACATCCATGCAAGCTGACAAAGATATAAATTTTATTATATGCATAATAGCATTTAAACAGTTATTAATCCTCATACATACCACACCAAGACTCTACAGAGAAATCCGGTTAAATTATTTTATATGTTGAAAAGTGATGGACAACTTCAGATATGTTAGCTTTAAACAACGCCAATAATAAGGATGATTTTCTTATCATTTCACACTAATTTATCATACTAGATTTTAAATGCAAATACATCCAATGCGATGTCCTTGAAATTCACAAACTTTGTAAGGAAGGGGGTATACAGGATCATGGGCACAGTGCCTGTAGAAATGTTTTCAAATTTTTTGGCTAAATGGCAATTTTCAGTTTCAGACTTATGTAACTTTTTTTAAAAAAACCATGTCCATCAAGTAAAGGAAATGTTGGTGGCCATGATATTTCTGGCTCAAAGAACATATAATTCCACTTCAACATGAAATACACAAAAACCCATGTCATTTGCAGTTCCCAATGCTTTGAAGTGTCCAAAAAGATGATGTCACATATTGCTATCTTCTCTTAGCAAAAATGTTAAATTGTTCTACTAAGGGCACAGATAAAACAGAATAACCAAATTTGCCATTTTTAGCACAATGTGAAGCTCTTCAGAAGACAGAATGAAAGAACCATATGCAAATACAGAATTCCTATAATGTAAAATTGTATATGCAAATTACAATCAGCATATATTTGGATTGCAGTGATTGCACCATCGCTCTGATGATGGAGGCGACAAGGACCTCCAAAATGTTGGTAAACTTCTACCATACTACGTGGTGCTACAATGCAGAAGACAGCCATCTTCATACTTACCATCATGAGAACCTAAAATCCTACTTACTTTTAGTTTCTGTTCAGTGAATGTAAACATGTTTTCCTTCTATCATATCACCACATGGGAACCGGTTAAACATTCTGGGATGCAATTAGGGCATACCAGGTTATTCTGAGAAGTGCATGCATCTTTAAGCTGATGATAGATTAACACAACACAACTGACTACTGTGGTTAATAAATTTTCAATTGTACAATAATACAGCTTTAAATGGAAAGGCCCATGCATAGAATATACAGATTACCCAGTAATTTGGTGCTTGCATCTTTGAAGTTTTGTATACAAGGGGACTATAATTAGTCTGGAACAGATTAGATATCCCAAATATTTTCAGCTGTCCCCAAGGGGACACCAGAAACCAAGAGCCACGTATCAATCAGTTCTGACAAAGAGAAAAGAGAGATTATAAATTTAATTTTTACATTGCATAGTACTAAATAAAAAAAGTTCTCTAAAATAACCTAACTGAACCATCTTCAAAGCATGTATGGATGAAAAGTCCATAAACAAAAGATTGATGAGAATAGAAATAGAGGTGAATGGCTTGTCCTGAAAAGTAGCCAGTTATTCTGATAACTGATAACTATGGCTCAATATAAACAATCACAGTTGTACCTCATCATCAGTGTAAAACAGTTAAGTATCTCCCAGTTCCCACAAGCTATTCAATATAATAAAAAATTACTAGCTTTACTTAGCTCTTAATATACCTTGTATATACAATCATGCACCCACTAGTTTAAATGTCACAAAATAGACCAAAGAGCTTAATGAGATAAAAGACAATACTATACCTTAAAAATGAAGTAAAATAAAAAAGCGTCTCCATGTAGCAGAAATGTGAGCAATTTTTAAATAAAATCAAGACAGAAAATTGAAAAGTAATGCAAGCAATGTTGTAATCATGAAATTAAATTATTTACAACAGTCATGAGACTTTTATAATACTTTAGATAACAAGATTGGAAACATGCCCTTTTTGGAGCACATACACACAACCCAATGTTCTTAGCCATATTCTTTGCATACATTTTAATGTCACCTAGAGACTACCTTATCAAGACTAATGACAATCAGAGACCATGCAGGCTGACATCATCATTGCATGATCATTGTCCCACCTCATAACTCTTCATGAGTCTGTGTACCCATCATGTTGGTATTATCAGCTGGAGGAAGTTGGAAGGTACTGTGGTGAACTAGGCTCCAATGACATCATTTTCATACCAAATTTCATGGAAATCCATCTATATGTTCCCAAGTTATTATATGGTTGAAACTGTAGTCCAAAAGGATACTGACAAATGGCAGCATTACCTTCTCTTGTGAAAGACACAACACGGACAGACAAACAGATCCTTAAGGCGATTTTCACTTGTACCAGGCATGTCAAACTCAGTATCTACTAAGAGCTGATTATAAAAGTGGTGACTTTCTGCATTGAGTTCATCCAAAACATCCATACACAAGACTTCCATATACCCAATTCTGTCCCACTACATATAAGAGTGAACATGGGAATCAAGATGCACAATAATCTTCCATTTTTCATTAAAAGTTTAAATCATGATATAAAAGTATTTGTGCCATCATTAAAATACTATCTCTTATCTCAGTTAATTTTAGTTCACAAAGATATTTATTTGGCAACTACTTTGATTTGTATTGTATAACATCTTTATGAAAATAGGATGCCTGTAACAACCAACTATGTATTTATATTAAACCTTTAAAGTCAAAGCTCACCTAAATAATATTTAATAATTCAGTCTGTACTGGAAAGAAAACACCACACCTCATAATTACAAATTTCAATTGCTTAATGCTGTTTAAATAAATCCTTGTCTACAAGGAGAATCATGCAAAACATCAATAAAAATGCAGGTTTATAGATTGTGGCAAATGCTTAGACATATAGCTGCCACTGCAGTTTAAAGGGTTAATATGAACAGCATATGACATCCTATATCCTTGACTTGGTCCTAGTCCTAGATATATTCAACCTGAGGTCCACAAGTTGAGCATATCAGATCTTTAATTTTTGATGCTGTATTTCAGCAAGTTTTCTCATTTCTACATTAGAGTAATACATAACGAAAACATAGCTATATTTTCTGTCTGTATTTTATACTATGTCCTATTTAATCAGAAATGTTGAGGATCACTGATTATACAGTCTCTATAATGTATACATTCTTATTCTAAAAATGTTGTGGTTACAATTCACAATTTTTAATTTTAACAACACCTAATTATTCAGCTCCATAACATTTATTTATCGGTGCTATTCCCTGAACTTTTTAACAAATTATTGTTAAAAATAGCCAGTATTTCTGAAATTCATGAATAAATTACCAATTCATTTCCGAAGACTGAAGTCATTTACTCGACTGTACGTTCTAAGCGCTTTGGAGAATTAAAACTTATTCAGCACACACGTAACTTTAACTTATTTTGGCCACATACACACATACAACTGGTATTCTTTACTTTTATGATAATTGGGATTTCGCAAAAATTATCTTATCCATTGATAACCTCACATTACACCATTGCGCAGAATGCACGTTCACCAACCAATGTATTGCTACAAGTCTCTTGCGCATCTTGGCAGCCCTGCATAAAAATGGCGGACGTGGCTATGGAGAATAAGGCAAGTGCTGTAAAATTCATCATTTAATATATGAACGGAATTATCAGTAATGAAGGGCCGTGATAATATAAAATGTTAAGGTTTAGCTTGGTCCAGAAATAAGCACAGTAATCACTAAACAGATGTTAATGTCTTATCAGTAGAATGTGATACTATTTCATAATGTAAGGATAGCTAAATCTTTTGAAAATTTGGGTGAGGTATTTAAAATAATAAATCAAATTTATGGTCATTTATAAATTAATGGAAGTGTGAACGTGGAGTGTACTTTTGACTATATAGTTAAGAATCGTTTATCTTCTCATGCTGTAGCTAAAGTGTAACATATATTAAACTGTAATTTTATATTTTGTTTTAACTGGTTGTTACACTTGGTCACAATCTTGGGAGAGAATTTACTTTCGGTTTGTTTAAAAAGTAATTAAACATTGAACATACTTGAACTTAAGAAAATTGAAGTAACAACTGGAGAAAATTTTATAATACATACTTTGCACATAATATTGTTTGGCATAATTAACTAAGAAGGATGAAGATAGGCAGTGCATGTAACGTGCAGACAGCATGAGAGATTCATTAAAAATGTCGCTCAGAAGACCAAAATTGGAGAGATCACTTGGAATATGTAACCATAAATGAGAGATTTAAACTTGATCTTATCAAAATAAGTTGTGAAGAGTATGCACTGGATTCATCTGACTTAGGGTAGGACCTAGTGGTATGTTTATGAATATTGACATTAACACTTATATTTCATAAAAGTAAGGGGATTTCTTTTCCAGCAGTTTATGAAGGCCTTGTGCTATTAAGTTAGCATCTACTATAAAAATTTGTGATTAGTCGTTGTCTTCAAGAAATGACGTCATCAACAATGTAACCAAATAACGCTTCACAACGAGATCAACAACTAGGAAACCAGCAACATAAAACTATTTAAGGAGGGTTGGTCAAGTGTTTTAACCCCCATTGGGGGGGGTAGCTTAGTTTCTTACTCAAGGGTTAAAACACTTGAATGAGTCACTAAACTAACTCCACTTTGGGACTAACCAAGTTTGGTTGCGTTTTACAAATTGCTCTAGTTTATACAAACTTGGTGATGGTTATTGATCATAAATACTAATGACTGATCAATATGAAGTAATTGCCTTGATGCATGACACTTCACTGTCTTAGCAACAATGGAAATGTATTGAAGAAAGTTATGTGTTTTTATGAAGGAGAGGGTTAGATAATGTGACTGTAAGGAAAATATGGCTTTTATATGCTGGGGATGTGTAAAAACAATGTTTTTGCACTTCAAATTGCTTCAAATGTGACTTCAGGCTTTTAACTTTTCACATCTGTATCGCTGAAGCCCAGAACCGTGTCCTGTCACTGATAAACACAAACCAAATGTGTTTCATATTCTTTCCACTAAGAAGTAACCAGAAAGTGTTATGTATAAATCTGTTTCATATGGTGATGGTTATTACAAGACTTGTAAGACTGTTGAATATTTTGATCCCTACATAATATGCACTCTTCTGAAAACATGAGAGGTTGGCAAGTGGTCTATGAAGCTGATTCTTATTCCTTGTGTTGATACCGTGTATGGCAGAATTAGTTTGAAAAAGTTCTTGGTTATTTACAATAAAGTTTATTAATGAGAATATGTATTCACAAAGAAGAGCTAAGATCTCTCATCTCTTAACTAGATTTCTACATGAATTTTTAGGTTTGACTCCAGCCAGTAATCTAACAATTTTCTCTTGTAAAGTGAATATCTTTTTTACTGTTTGATGAATTACCCCCACAAATTTTTCCATACTTCATTATAGAGTGTTAGGAGGAGATGATACTGGGAGAATGAAAAGGGTAAGTGACTGTTGACACTTATAGTTCCGAACTCAAATTTAGCATGAACCTAGCACACATGAAAGTCTTGATCAGTTTGAAATTGAAATGTCTCACATATCCCTATTGTAAATAATACATTGTTTCTTATAGTAATTCAATTCTTTTTCTAGACCAATGAAGACCTTACTCCAGAAGAAAAGTGGAGGTGAGTAGAACATATCTAGTACCAGTAATTTGATAAGATAGCATTGGTAGAACTTCATTCTTCGACCTAGTAATTACCACTTAAAGTTTTCCTTTTATATTGTTATGAGCGGTCATTTAGTGACTGCTGTTGCATTGTCTTTCCAATATGCATGATCACCACATCAGTTGTCACCTTTTCTACTCAGTCAGCTGCAACAGTGATTAAAGATTACACTGGTGACTCAGCAATTGTGATAAGAAGAAGTGGTATCCCATGTGACATTCACATGTGTATTATGTGTGATTCATTTTGTGTAGGACATGGATAAGTTTACACTAGAGTATCTGGTGTTATTATATAAACTGTATATGAAGTGTGCTCTGCTAGAAAGTCAGATGAAATTCGGAAGAAAGTTTCCCATAGATTGAGTTTTCTATAGAAACAGTATTCAGAATTAAGTAGGATTTGGTGTTTACACGGCGGTGAGTGAGAAGATGGCAGTCTTCTAGGTTGTAGCATTGATACCCAGAAGACGGTTATCTTAGTATTCAGAATCTTGTAAATAAGTATACTGTAAACCTAAACATTAGCAAGAATTAACAGAAGAAAGTTAAATGGTAACAGACCTTGGCCTGAACACTCGGTTTGTTAGTCTCTTAAAAATAAGTATCAAATTCACCCATGAGAGACAGTATAAAACTATGCATAGGAAATCCACACTTGTACATAGGGTTCCATTCTGTGATGCAAAATTTGGCATCTTGTTCATTCTTGAGTGCAAGGAGGATTATTGGTCAGAAACAGGTAATTTTTATAGCTATGTAAGGCATATACTGCAGTCATTTTTCAAGAAACTAACAGATGAAGGAAAACTATGGATATTTCGAGCACAATTCTACAACTGTACATACAGTTTATAATTTCATACATATCACAAACAGAGTGTTTAGTGAAAGGTTATAAGTCCTGGTTTATGGCTGCCACATTCTCCTGACATTACTCCATGTGGTTTCTTCTTATAGAGATATTGAAAAATAAAGTATATCAAACCAGTCTGTACATGAAAGAAGAACTAAGAGAAAACATTTGGCTTGATGTGGTCCATATATCCACAGAACAACAGTATGTAAACCAGGATCTGTTTAGATGGTGTGACGAGTGTTTGTGAGCAGATGAACATTTTCAGCATCTTTAACATAGGTGAGTAAATTTCGCTGTATGATGATAATGCAGTCTCAGTGTCTCCACGGTTGGCTGAGTGGAAAAAGTGGCAACCAGCAGAGCATTTGTATATAGCAGAAGGACCATGCATTGGAAAAGGTATCAAATAATCTCCCTGCATGTATAGTGTCTTATAAGGATCTGGCAAATGAAGAGGGAGTTTGTAAATACTTGCATAAATGGCTGTAGAATTAGAAGCAGGAGGTATAACTTAGCCAGTAATTTCAGAAGTACCAATGTTGTTTCAGCATTGGTTTGTTGAAGTGTGTTGATTAATAATAGTAGGAAATTAAAGTTGTGAGAATGAAATATAATGTACAGTTAAATTTTATGAACATGAACTATAACCTGCATATAAAACGACATCACATATGTTGTTGTTTGTAGAAGGTGTAAACAAGTAAAGTAAAAGTAAAGCTGTCCCGCTACACACCATGTAGGTCATTTTGGGGGGAGTGGAGCTATAGCTCCTCTATCTTCACTGCAGCACTAGATGGGGGTGAGTGGTCAGCATCACTCCCCGGCTGTGCTTTGCCCCCAGGAAAGGACCCCAGTACCCATTAGATAGGAGGCTGGGTGGGCCTCAGAGCCGGTCTGGACGCAGAGGCTAGAGGAAAAATCCCTGCCCCGTCAGGGATTGAACCCCAGTTGTCCGGCAAGTAGCTAGTCTCTATACTGACAGCTGTCCTGGCTCACAAACAATACATTAGCAGAAAGCAAGGGAATATTTGTATGTACTTTAAACCGTAAAAGAAGTTAATCAAGGCCTTTTGTAGGAAACACAGTTTCCTTTGCATATTCACTTTTATTTCCAAGACTGGAAGTATCTCTTGAATAATCTTTTATTTCATCTGGTTGTAAAACCATAAACTGGTGTTCTTATGATGCCAGAGATGTTGAGTGTAGTTCTAGGTTGTAACACCACATTGTCTTTTAGGTGAGTATGAACATTTCAGAGGAATTACCTCCATCTTCAAGTTGAAGTAACATCACCCTGAAGATTGAGGTGATATGTTCCTCTGAATGTTGGTAACTGCCTATAAGACCCCATGGTGTCACAACCCACAGCTGACATGAAAACACTGAGTGGTTTCATAGAAATCAATTCAGATGTAAAGGTTTATATATATCTAAAAACTGTGTGCAAATAACAATGTTGTATTTATGTTTTCATTTTATCTTTCTCTGATCTACTTTTGTCTTGATTACAGGCTGGAGCATATAAAACTTCATAAGCATCATGAAGGACATGAATCTATGCATGCAGAAATGATTCTTATTCTTCTTGTTACTTTGGTTGTGGCTCAAATCGTTCTAGTCGAATGGAAGAAGAGGCATTACAGGTCCTATATGGTGTGTAGATAAGGAAATCTATCTTTGCAGGCGTAGATGATTGCCTATCGATGGATATGTTTTTATGAGGACCATACCTTGTCTTTTACTGTCACCAAAGTAATGGTAACGTCACTCCATGAGAGTGTAATTTTGCTGCCTATTCCTCTTAAAAATTTACCACCTGTTGTGCAAGGGGGATTCATGACAGGAGATGATGTTCAGATAACACAAAATTTTATGCAAATATGGAACATTCAGGTTAGTACTGAAGAGTTCCTGTTTCATGTGAAAGTAAAATGGTTTTTGAGCTATCAGCAAAAGGGCCTAATATGCAAGAACTATGTACATAGTTTATGAATTGGCATAACATTAACAAGTATTCTATACAGAAGTACTGTTTGTACTTACATTATGGATAAGTACCACAGAATTTCTACTTTGATCAAAGTAGCCCAATAGAATTTATTGCATTTTCCTTTCTTTCCTCTCTCCCTTTTTCCTTCTACTCTGAGGCAAAACAGGTAAAGTTGTACCTGGTGCTTAATTAGCACCCAGAATCTTGCATTGAATGGCTCTTTTGTCATCCTAAATGTGTGTCACATCAATGACTTTTGTAGTAATCTTTGTTGGTCTTCAAGGTTTAAAGATATTATATGGCTACATGGAGTCTTATCAGTACACTTACCCATAAAAATAATGAGATTATGGCCTCCGGGGTTGTTACACTGTGAGTCTCGTAGAAATTAACCGAAGTGCCTCTATCATCAGGATATCAAGTTACTCATTTATCTAATGATGGAGGAGGTAAGCGCCTCTGAAATGTGAAATTTTCTGTCAGACTACATGATGCATCGTCCCAGAAAATGAAATCTTTTTACTTGCCACCATGTGAACCACAAATCTCTCAAAAATAATATTGTTAAAATCTGTGCTCTCTTTGGATAAAGTGAAGTATGTTTTCTGGTAGCAAATTTATATATTGGCTTCAATGACAAACACCCTTGTGTTTACTGTGGAGTTTGTCCAAGGTAAGCATTTTTATATTGGTTAGAATTAAACCATAACTATTGCATCTTTAATATACCATAGCTGGATAGTACACATACTTTCTTTTTGATTGGCTATGCCTTACACTGCATAACAACCTAGAAGACTGCCATCTTCATACTCATCACCTTGGGAACCTTAAATCTTACATATTGTTGGTTGCTTGTGTAAGAGAACAGCTTAATGAAGAAGCTCATCCAGGACAAGAACGTATAAATGAGGGTGAGATTATAAAATTCTGATGCCTGTTTTGCAAAAGATACACAATTTAATGCATTGAAAATCAAGACAGACGTACACAGTTCAGAATTGGGAGTTCGTCTTTTGTAGGCATAAAATCTGACGAATATGAACATGCTCTGCTTACTATAGTAACATTTCATTTAGGTGTTTCTGAGATGGTGGGGGGGCAGTGATTATGAGTACTAAACCTGAGTGACACCATTGAAATTGTTGAATAGGGACTATAAAACTGACCATTGAAACTTGCAATCATAAACCAAGGAATATTAAATGGGCATTACACTGTAATAACTCCTATATTTATTGGCCCCTCTTTCTTTCCAGTTTTCTACTCTTATTGGTATGTGGATTATTCCATTGTTATTGTGCCTGAAGAATCAATGGTGGCGTTTCATATTCTTATGGCTACTGTTTTCCTGTATAACTAGTCTAGTAGTGAGAAAAGCCATTCAGAAACCAATTGAAGGTACAACCCCAAGGTTTGTTTTTGATTTTTCATAATAATAACTCTTCTGGCCTTAAAAATGCACTTTCACTGTTCATAAAAGAAGAAATTGTGTCATCTTAGATTGAAGTGATTAACTTTTGTTTTCTTTCAGATTGGTCTACAAATGGTTTTACTTCCTCTACAAATTAAGTTATGCTCTGGGCTTAATAGGATATGTCATCATGATGGCTACATTTTTTGGGTTACATGTAGTATTTGATGCTAAACCACATACATGGATGGATGTTGGATTGCTCTTTGTATTTTATGGTCTATATTATGGAGTTTTGGGCCGAGATATAGCAGAAATATGTGCTGACAAAATGGCATCACATATTGGGGTAAGCATATAATAATATAAAACTTTATTTTTGTTTGAGTTGAATGAAAGTTTCAGTCAGACCAGGACTATTCAGTCCACAGCCTGTAGGTATTTTGTTAGGCAGCTGTATAATCTTTTGAATGTCTTGTGTGTCTGAAAAGATCATCTATGTGCCCTATAGAGGGTAAATTATCATTTTGGTATGCTTGCATAGGATATAGTTCTGTGTCCTTACAATGTGTTTTCAACTATATTGAAGATATATATATGGGAGTTTATGTAAGGAGATTGGCTGGATTAAGAAGAGGGGTGTTGTTTAAGAATTTCACATGGGGCCTAGAAATGAAGAATCACAATTTATAATTCACATATTTATATTAAGGACTATGTTAGATAAATATCTGTCTTGGAAAAGAGGTGAAGTATATTAGATATTTGTAGATTTGGAAAAAGCTTTTGATATATTAATGAGAGACTTTGTGGTGAAAAGAGGGTGCTAAAGGGGAATCAAAATATATCAAGGGGTCAAAGGAATCTGTAGGAATGTGAAGATTGCAGTATAATATGAAGGAATTCAGGTATTAAAGGAATTTGTTTCAAATATTGGATAATAAATGAATTGAAGGGTAATTGGGAGATGAAATGTTCCATATAAGTACATACTCATGAGACTAGGAGAGGTATAGGATGATGGAAAATGTGAATTTGGAGCTTAAAGGGTGTTGAGAGAAATATTGAGCAGGGAATGCAGTAAAGAGGAAGGATTTAGTGACCTTTTAAGATATGTGGGAACTAGAAGTTGGAGATATGGGTTGATGTATAAAAGATTTACAAGTACTGATCCAGAAACTAGAAGTAGAAAAATAGTTGGGGGGGGGGGGGGGGGAGTATAAATTTGGGTTGTATTTAAACCAATAAAAAGATAACTGGAAAAGATTAGTAACAAGATAATGAAACAGTCACTGATTGGTGTGGTTGCAAAGATCGGAAAGATTGGATATTATTTATTTCTATGGCGCAACAACCCGAGTTGAACCTTGGCCTCCACCCATGTGGGAGAGTTTTTTTTTGTCTTTGAAGCATGCATTTATGAATAGTGTGCGACAGGCCCACTGCCTCTACACAATTTCTACTCATATCCTGATTTGTCTGCTAGATCCATCTAGTAGTGAATCAGGAGAGGCTTGGGTGAGAAATGGCCACTGAATTTTGCTTATGAAACATATCATTCATGCTCGTAAGGTTCGTTTACATGCCTTTAATCTACGACATGGTATCACTGGTTTTACTTCCCCTCCGAAGGAAGCTGTTCTACAGATTTTTATCACCCTTAAAAGTCCATCAACCTCGGCCAGGTTTTGAGCCCGCGAACCTTGGGTCCAGTGGCGAGCACGCTAACCACTAGTCCACCGAGGGCGACGAAATTGCATATAGTCTGTAAATGGTGAATGTAAAAAGGAGTGAGGATGAATGTAAATATATGCAGAATCCAGACAATAAGACCATGGAGTCATGTCCAAAAGACTCAATAAATGTCATTGTCTGTAGCATGCTTATCAAGACATGCACATTCAGGTTCCACTTTATATGCTGTAATGTCTCAGTATTCGCTCCTGTCCACATAGATTTAATATCATAGTGATAATATATATAATTTGTGTAGTTTTACACAAACATTCCATTTTCATAAATGTAACTCCTTAAATGCAACTGTATTTAATTATGAATTGTGTTATTGGTGTAGTACTACACAGATCATGGCATGCCCACAAGGCATCTTGACTCGGGAGTGTGTGCTGTATGTGGTAACAAATTGTTGGTGCAGGAAAATGAAGAAGGAGTCTTGGAGAATACGTATAAGCTCTCTTGTAACCATGTGTATCCTTAAAGAGTTTCTTTGTTTGTGGTGAATATAACTGCTTTAAAATATCGGTACATTATAAAATCAACATGATTTTAAGAATGATTGGAAAATAAGAGGACTGAGAAAAATCTTATTGCAATCCTAATTTATGTACTGCCCTTATGGTTCATCCTGATCTTATTTTACAGATGCCAGACTCAAAGACAGAAATTATTACATAATTGGAATCTCCTAGTATATACATTTGTATTGTTTTATTAGGTTAGTTATGATGGGATGGAGGAATAGTCATTGGTATTAATGGTGTTGAATCTTTGGGTTATTTTGCTTATGATTTACCTAGTGTAAACTTTATTGAACCAATGTTTGCATGGATTGATAATTATCTGACCCCAAATTCTTCACCTTTTTGTTGTGAAATTTGAGTTACATGATAATGCATTCAGTGAGATGGGGAATAATTTTATGTCACAAGTCACTGGAATGGGACTCACTGTTTGCTTTAGTCAGTAATGTATATGATCCATGTTGAACAAAATAATCTGAGCCACTTCACAAACACTTCTGAAAACCTTCACTTTTAAGATCATGATAATGACATGACAGTTTTGCTCCAAAAACTGCATTGCAACAAAATTGTTGCTCCCACTCTCAGAAAATTGCCACTAACTTTCCATTTTTCTTATTATATTACATGACTGTTATATTTCTGAACCTAGAACACCACTGACAAAATCACAGACCAAATTTTTCTATTCTTATTTTATCATAATTCAAGGTTTTTTTGTGTGTGTTCCATTCCATGAATGAGTATGTCAAGCATTCATCCTGTGAGTCAAGCAAGAAAACACCAGAATGTTGAAGACACTTTTGAACTGAAAATGCACAAGACATATTATAACAGGTTACAACTTACATGAAAGTAATGTGGCCTGTCTTTGGACAGACAAGTCCAGTTCTTTTACATTCCAATTTTCCCTCATGTATATGTAATCTACTAAAAGACCTTAATAGTACATCGATCCCTCAATTTACAAACATAATTCATTTCACAAAAAAATATTCTTAATGTGTAAATATGTAAACTGAAAATAAAATTCCCACTAATTCTATGTTAAAGATTCTGACTGGATTCCGACTCTCAGAAAAATCACTCGGATATTCTTCTGACATATGTTACAGTACCATACACTCTTAAAAACAAGAACAGTGCTACATTTTTATGATAGTTGTTACCTACCTAACCCTGTAAGTGAACTACTGAAGTGTTACATCAAGCATTTACATTGTGTGGCAGTTGCATTAGTTACAGTATAAATGTCAGAAATTGTATAAACAAAGAATAGACAGTTTTATTTATTAAAAACCTTGCACAAAGGTTGGTTCTTCATTGTAGCAAAAATATGTTGGTAAATTGAAAAAAAGTATAAATTTACATATTTTGTTGTAGTGAAAATTTGTAAATCAGAAGTTCATAAATCAAGGAGTATGTGTACTGTTAAAAAGCAATTGGCATCAGCCTGATATTGTCTTCATTCACATTTAGACATCACAGCATCCCTGGCCTCACTTATCAGAAAGTTCCAAAGCTGTGTTACTTGAATGAAGAGCATGAAACATGATGCTATTCTTGTAGCCATATCAGCCAAATTCTGTGAGATTTCAAAAGAGAAATTATATATTCCTGCTCAGTATGTTTTACTGATTGAAAGCTTTATCTCCATTTGGGTGACTATAGAGTAAAACTGTTGAGATGTGAATGATTTTTTATTATTAAATAACAACTCTGAACCATAATTATCTCAATAGAACTAAGACAACTGACGTAGGTAGTTTGTCCCTCCATTTTACATTCAATTTTCAAAATAGTTATTTTTGTTTCCCTCATTTAATGTCTTGACATGTAATGCTTGTGAAATACTCTGCATAGTTTTCTTAATACTCATACCAGATTTCATGAATTTTGTATTCGAGGATGGTGCATCGTGGGTAAGAAACAAACATGCCCATATTGCAAGGAGAAAGTGGATTTGAAGAAGATGTTTTGTAATCCGTATCCTTTTTCATAGATGCATTTATTCTTTGTCAAGTGTTAAAACAGAGCTGCAAAAGACAAGTACTTGGATAATCTAGAATATAGAATTGTACAGAAATACAGTAAAAACTCATTCTGTAATAATGAAAATGTTGAAAGAGTCCTGTCCAGCACCCACTAAGAATAAAAAAATTAAATATGAATCTTGTACTCTAAAAGTTTCAGATCCATTTGTAAGATCCCAGGGTTGGCTGTATTACAAAGATCAGATTCATGTGTAATATTGCAAATCTCTCTGATCAGATACTGATAATTACACAGTTTAGAATATATGTGTAACTGAAGCAAGGCTCAAAGATAGAAGGTTACATAACGATATTAAAAATATGTTCTTCTGGAAGGAAACGACGAAAAGGGTGCATTATTTTACAAAAAATAATAAACTAAGCCAATAGATCATATGTGTTTGTACTAATGGGAGATTTTAAGCCAAGAATAAGTAGAAACAAAGTACAGTGATATTTTGACATATTTAGTGTCATGATCTAAAACAGTAATAGGGTGAGAATGAATTTTTGGTTTATATAATGTAAAAATACAAATACGTTTTTCTGACAGTACTGTGTGCTTACTTTTACAAAGGAGTTAACATGTTACTTTATATAAGATAATGTTAGAATTTGAAGGTATGACCTTAACATATGCCAGATGGGAGCGACCCCATGTACTTTATGGTCAACTGTTGGATTGGATTCGGTGGCTAGTAGCATGGCAACCTCTAATTCTCTTTCTTGTTCAATGCATAAACTGGGCACTGGGACTGGAATGAATATTATGGCTGTGAATTTTGAATACATATTTATATCACCATTGATTAAAGTTTCCTATGTATGAAAGAAGATTTGTGTGTATGTGAATATTCAAGGTGTGAGGACCAGGAATTTGCCAGCATGTAAAAATACCAAGCTTTGCATTTGAATGACTGGAAATATTTTTAAGGTTTTGTAGCAACAGTTCTACAGTCCAAAGTATTTATGAGTTAAGATACATGTCATACAACTGTAAGGAATATGCATTAAATTTTTAAAAGATACCTGTTATCTGACCTATTTCCCTGCTCTTAGTAAAGTGTAGTTACCAGTTTAAAATTTGATAAAGAGCTGAGCTTGTGCCAGTGAAAGGGGATTTTCAGGGAAAAGACATTTGTATTTATATGGTTCCACTTCATAATTGCTTTTCATTAATATGTATATATAGAATGACTTCGAAAATGTTGTGCTTTTGTTTGGGTGAAACATGTGAACCAGTCTTTTTTTATAAAAAGAGTGTTAACTGTTAAATGTAAAAGATAATCATTCATCAGACATTGCATAACTGTTAGATAATTAAATTCAGCAAGTATTATACTGTGAAAACATAACATCTAGTAGCTGCACATTCCACATTTTGTTCTAAAGTTTTCTACACTAAACTCTTTTGTTGTCATTATTTTGAACACATGTTAAATTTGAAGGTTTCATGGTGGTGAAAATGTGGATTGGGTTCTATGTCATGATTACATATAGTCTTGTAGGTGGTTCTCAATGATTCAGATTAATGTAGAACCTACTAGACTGTGTCATCATAACCCAGAAGGCCTGCATTCATAGGTTATATTGTTAGTTGTGGCCTTGTGGGTTGCAGTGCCATATAGTCTTGTAGGTGGTTACCATATTTTTGGAAGAACAGAGTACCAAGGAAACCATGTGACATAACTCAGAAGACTTCAATCCATAGGTTATATTGTTAGTTGTGGCCTTGTGGGTTGCAGTGCCATATAGTCTTGTAGGTGGTTACCATATTTTTGGAAGAACAGAGTACCAAGGAAACCATGTGACATAACTCAGAAGACTTCAATCCATAGGTTATATTGTTAGTTGTGGCCTTGTGGGTTGCAGTGCCATATAGTCTTGTAGGTGGTTACCATATTTTTGGAAGAACAGAGTACCAAGGAAACCATGTGACATAACTCAGAAGACTTCAATCCATAGGTTATATTGTTAGTTGTGGCCTTGTGGGTTGCAGTGCCATATAGTCTTGTAGGTGGTTACCATATTTTTGGAAGAACAGAGTACCAAGGAAACCATGTGACATAACTCAGAAGACTTCAATCCATAGGTTATATTGTTAGTTGTGGCCTTGTGGGTTGCAGTGCCATATAGTCTTGTAGGTGGTTACCATATTTTTGGAAGAACAGAGTACCAAGGAAACCATGTGACATAACTCAGAAGACTTCAATCCATAGGTTATATTGTTAGTTGTGGCCTTGTGGGTTGCAGTGCCATATAGTCTTGTAGGTGGTTACCATATTTTTGGAAGAACAGAGTACCAAGGAAACCATGTGACATAACTCAGAAGACTTCAATCCATAGGTTATATTGTCGGTCTTCTGGGTTGTCATGTCATATAGTTTTGTAGATAGTCACTAGAAATTTAAAGGAACTTACTTATTGTCCCTGTCTTTGGGGGAAAGTTATACAAGGTTACATGGCATCACAACCCAGGAGACCTCAATTAACATTTTCATTATTGTGATACCCTCCTTTAAGTTATATTGATTATAATACAGGGTTTATCTTTTACCCATAAATTAGTTACATTTCAGTTGGGCAGTTTAGATCTCTAGTCACCACTCAAAGACATTTGCAAATTCCATATAACTTACATTAATTAGAATGTGTATTTTTAATATGGTCAAAAGACTTGAAGCCAATTTTTACTGTGCCACCTACAAGTTGTCAGTGTAATTTTTGAGCAGTAAATAAATGCAGCTCAGTCAACTACAGTAAGGCAAAAAATAAATGTTGAATAAATCATGGATGGGGTTTTGTGTACAGAATAAATTGAAACGTCAGTATATCAGACATAATGACAAATTTTACTGTGATAGTTTCTGGCTGCAAGAAATCATAGGGAATATGGGATGTGAAAAAAAGAGATTCTGTTTACAACTGCTCTGAACCCTGTATTGCATTATGTGTGAAGGAAATATGTGTTTTATTTTTAAAACTTTTCATACATCCATAATTAGTGATTACAGTTCATGAATCCTTGATGCATAATAAGTAATAATATATGTCTATCCAATGCTTTATTTTGTCAGAAATTTTCTTATGCTTCCTTCTATGCTACATCAGATCTGGAACAAATTTATCAAATATTAAACACAATATCCTGTTGCATATTAACATTTTTCTCTATTTTTGTTTCAACACCAACTGTATGAACATCACACACCATTTGTAATGTTAAAATTGTTTTATAATGTCAAAGACTAAATATTTGGAAACAATAGAGAAATTTAGTTTCTAGTTATAAGTCCATTAAGATCTATGCTGTTCCCTGATCCATCTTTATAGATCATTGTTGTTTGTTACTTTTAGGGTTTGTAAATTGGAACTATGACAGGGTATCCTTCTTCACCATAGCTCCCGTCCTAGTCTTTTTAACTATTCATTTGTAACAAAAATAGTGTATTCTTTGGATTACTTTTTGTGTCTTTTTTCAGATGTACTAGCGTAGGGTTATCAACCTGCAAGCCACATGTGGTCCTTCAATTTGTTTTGTAGGCCTACAAACATTTTGTGTAATAAACACTTTGTTAATGTTGTCAGTATTCGGCAGTTGTCTATTGATAAACATTTGGAGTAATACAAATTGCAACAAGGGAAATGAAAGCTGACATTAAACATTATCAAGCAAATCACTTACTAGTAACAAGTTATCAATATTTTTAATAAATGCTATTGATTTTAATAAAATTGCCGCTTTTATAACCAGGCTGTCTGAAAGTTAAAACAAAAAGGAGTGTGGCCCCAGATCTGAAAAGGTTGGCTACCCCTGCACTTAACCTGCTCAAGTGCACAGGAGATTTAATTTTGTGCATGTGTACTTAGCATCTTTGGAAAAAGGGCTGAGTTACGGTCTTTCATAAATATCAACCCTAAAGATGGAGGCAGCATGCTCCTCCAGAATATTACACCGCAAATGGAATGAATATCTGCATATTTAGGTAATCTGTTGGATGTGGGTGTGTAATCTGTGCTAAACTAGTATAAGACAAATAAATAAATGGACAGAGATTGATGCATTCCATGCAGAGTGTGGAACATATCAGAGAAGTATCACATGCGCCTAAAAACTAATAATGCACAGTACCCAGTATAAATTAATATATTGCTTGCGAAGTCGAATCATCAAGGACAAATAATATTTTTTCATATAGCTTTTAATTTGTGAATTCTTGAAAGCTTGGTACCAACCGTTCTGTAACCTCTAGACCAAAGATTACCGATACGTATTCCTGAATGTACAACTGATTATGCGTTTCTGTCAGACTCGTGATAAGTCGTGTTTTGTCGGTAAATTTCCGTAACTTAGCCACGCCCATTAATGACTGCCGTAGATGCCGTTGAGGTGTGGAATGTAATATGTGAATTTGTTATATCGTTTGAAAAATAAATCATTATTTCTGCACGGATTTAATGAAACGTGCATTTGACACCGGCTGTAAAGCGTTTCTAGTGCAACTGTCTGAATCTTTGAATTGTGAGTAGTGTGACCATAAAAACCGGAATACATATATTTCCCACACACCAGAGCATCGGGTGCTGGATCGGATTTATCAGAGGTAAGTGACTGTATGTGACGTTTCTTGCCACAGTTATTCTAGATTCAGCGAAGGTTACATATTCATACATTGGTGTTACAGCCACCATTACTTCATGCTCATGTCATGTGTCAGTTACCTTATTGTGTGTATATATTATTGGGAGGTCCTGTTCAGCTAGGTATCAACAGACATATCAAAGTTCTAAATTGATTGACACGTTTTCCTCATTCATAATTGCAAGGCGTTGTAAAAATAGAGTTCCACAAGGTTCATTACTTTATCCTATGCTTTTCGTCTTATTTGTCACTTATCTGCCCCAACAATAGAACCTTATGCTCTTAGCTGATGTTACTAGCATTATTATTTATTACCCTGAAAGTGACTGCTCTTAGAATTAGATTAATGATTTCTTTACTAGCATGAACAGGCGGTTTAAAGCAAACAAGCTCATTAAATTTTAACAAAACAATGTTCTACTAGCAGCAAAACTTGTATTAATTTAAATATAGATTATGGTAAAGCAGTTGAAAAAAAAAATTCTTGGCTTACATATTAATATATTTAATTGTAGAAAGCCCATTTAATATATATTTTTTCAAAACTGAGTTCAGCATTTTTTACTTTGAGGACAGTCTTACTACTCATGAAAATAAATACTTTGCTTCTCTTATTTCCGTCCTGTCTCGTCATATGGAGATATCTTCTGGGGAAATTCAACAGACAGCAGAATAATATTTAAAATTCAAAAGAAAATCTTTATAATAATTACAAGTGTTATAAAAAAGAGCTTCTTGTAGGGAATTGTTTTAAGAAATTGACTATATTTCCCTTGAGAGAATATCACTCTCATTACTGTTGTGGACAACACACAAAGTTTCAAATTCTGACATGTAATATAAACACAAACATAAACATGGCCTCCATATGCCAAATGTTAACCTCTTTAAGTTACCAGAAAAGTGTTCATTATGCAGATATCAAATTATTCGGTAATCTTTCTTATGAAATTAAAGTTTAAATCGTTTTATAAAAGTATTTTACCAGCATTGAAAGATTGTCATTTATTTAAATTGAAAATAGCAGCAATAGCTATGTGTTTATACTTGTTTTGGTATTGTATTTGTACTAATTGTTGGTATTTATATTGTTTAAAACTGTGTTCTGTTCTATCAACATGATACTTTATTATATGTCACACATATTATAGCATTCAGTATTTTAGCATTGCCTAGGACTTTAGATACTTCTTTGTTATATACTAAAGCTAATATGGTGATACTATAATATTAGGAAACAGTGCACATATTGTTATAAAATTTACTAGTACAATAAAAATACAGGATTGCAAAAGCGTGCTTTCCTATTTAAATGTAAAATATAATTTAAATGTAGAATTAACCATTAATTTTTTGACACTAAGTGCTGGTGTACAATTAAGTCTGTCATTTA